TCTCAATCATAGACGTCTTTACTTTTGCCATTAACGCAACTTCCATGGCTGCCTCTCCCTTCAATGCTTCCAAACAACCTTGCTGAACTAGTAGGGCTTTCATCTTCAAGCGCCACAGACTGAAGTTGTTCACTCCGGTGAACTTTTCAATCTCATACTTTGTTGAATGCATCTTCTCCATGCTCACCGCACCACTTTATTGTGAATAGAATTCCTTGAAACAAAATATGAACGACTTCTTTATATTCAAGAAACATGCAATGGTTAGGATTAACAAAGGAAACAAGCAAGAACAACAAGAAGAAATAACAAGAATTGGTTATAAACTGCTATTCTTTCCTTTATCTATCAAACAAGATTACAAGTATACATGAATAACAAATAACCTCTCTCTCTTGAATTAAGATTTTATCTTCCTATTTTTCCTTATCCAAGATGAGATACTAGCATGTTATTTATAAGAAAATTAACACACTAATCTAATGGATATTTTAACAATTATCCATTACAAGCTAACTTAGGGTACAAGCTAAACAATTGGCTTACAAGCAAGGCCCAATTCATCATGCTAAAAAACTTATCAATATTGACTAATGCATGTTAGAACAAACTTTGACTATAACATGCATTACTCCGACAACATACTAGAGTTCAATCCAATATCTCACAAGTATATTTAAATTCATCCAAAAATATATTTTCGAATTTGAAGAAAGCATTTTTTAATTTTCAAATGTGTTTTTCCATTTCTTAGAGTAACTTCAACGGTGGAATTTTCATGCATTGCTCCAGCGTGGCAAATAAAGCACAAGGTTTCCTGTTGATTGAAGTTGGCCAGGCCGGCCAACAGAGCAATGCAATGCAACAGTTACTTAAATAAAATAATAACAAAATTGAAAAAGTGATCGTTCAGTAATGACTGTTTCTTTTTTTCTTTCTTTTTTTAAAACATTTTGGTTGATTGTAAATAGACCAATTTGAAAAAAATTTACACATAAAATTTCTCTCAAATTTTTATCTCCTCTTACAATTTCATCACTTTACTCTTAATTTTAAAATGTTTCTCTTACAATTTCTTCTCATTAGCTTTTATTTGACAATATATTTTAGCTAAATTTTCATATTATTACTTTAGAATTATTATTGTTTATGCCAAATGGATCCTAATCAATATAATTTTCAACAATATATGTTCAATTTCATGCAAAATTATCAAAATTCTTAACCTCAAAATTTTCAATTCTCATCGATGCCAACAAATTTTACCGCATTTTTTTGTCACCAAACAATCCAAATATGTATCATAGACCTCAAATAAATACTCATGGGATGGAATTTTTTCATCATGAATCGGAAACACCGATTGGGATTATGTGCGATTGCCAAGTTCCACCATTTTCACCTCAAGTTGGTATTAAAAAACAAGAAAGGCGTGCCGTTAAAAAAATATCGAGAGCTATTTACAAGGGATGTGGATACACTTATTATGCAATCATGACTCAATGTTTCAAAGGATCCAATTGTTGGGAGTTGATAAAAAAACTAAGAGTTTTTGTTAAGAATCACTGCCAATTATAACCAGTATCATGGGCAGCCGCGAGAAAAACTAAGCGGGCAATTAAAATGTCGATGGCATCGAATAAATGACTTGGTTCTAAAATTTATTGGGTGTTACAAACGAGCTATTAATAGAAAGAAAAATGGGATACCGGAGAAAGATATCTTGGCCAATGCACATGTTATTTTTTTTTCTCAGGATGAAGGTACACCATTTAATCTTGAGTACGTATGGAGATTGTTAAAAATGAACCTAAATGGATGAGAGAATCGACTGAAAATTCTTCAAAAAGAAAAAAAAAGCTTCTGCTAGTGGGGCACACTTGTTAGATGCCCAGTTGTGCTTATTTGAGCTATCAAATTTGGGCATCTTTCGCTCCTTTTTGTCCTAAAAATGTATTAAACCGCCTTGCTTTTGTTGATTATGCATTAGTGTGTTAAATGCTCTTGGTCCCTTTGATTTGTGTGTTATTGTGCAGGATTGGAGCTTGAAAGAATATAATTTGAATACACAAGAGAGTTGACAAAGGAATCAAGCAAAGAAGAAGAGCAAAAGCTGGTTCGCTAGGCGAACACTTGGCGAGTGAGTAGCGAGTGTTCCCTGCAGCCTCGCCCAGCGAGTTGTTAGCGAACACTCCCAGACTTGGGCAGAAGCATCCTTGGCATCATTCGCTGGTAGCGAGCAGATGGCGAAAGACTCGCTAGGCGAGCTCCCAGCGAACACCTAGCGAGCAGCTCCAGAACCAATCAAAGCTTCCTTTGCTGGCTGGTTCGCTGCAGCGAAAGCATAGCGAAGCAGAACAGAAGAAAATCTGCAGTCCTCGCTAGCATGTTCGCTAGGCGAGGCTGTAGCGAGCGTTCGCTAGCAGTTTGCCTAGCGAGCAGGTAGCGAACGTGCCCAGAATTTCCACTTACTATAAGTAGCAGGGGCTACTTTTTGGACATATTATCTTTTTTACTTGTTTTACATAGTTTTGGCTAGAGAGGAGATTTTTGTGCCCTAGAACACTTTTGGCTCTCATTTCTTCATCTCTTAACATATTCCAACAAAAAGAAGGTGGATTCTCATCCAAGTTGGATCATTCGACTCATATGTTCATCAACCTTCTTCCGAAACTTCTTTTGCAAGCTACCATGGAAATGAGTGGCTAAGTTCTTTATTTTGTCAAGGTTAGATGTAGGTGATTATTAAGCTTTGTATGTATATGGATGATCCTCATTTGTAAAACTCTTTGATGATTAATATATGGTGAAAACCTTGTTTTATTTATAACCTTTTGTGTTGGTTCATGATCGAAAGATATTTTCCAACTCTTGACCTAGGTTTTCATCCATCTCCTTTCTTGAGCTAGAAATAGTCTTGAATGTTGTTGTTCACTAAAATGTTAAACCTAAATGTTGTCATTTTGATAGATTGTGTGAGAGATCAACAATGGATCAAAATGAGAAATATCACAATGTGAGTTAGAGATAATCATATTGGGAGGATATTGTGAATGTGTTTATCATGGAAAAGAGTTTATGCATTGTTGATTGAACATATACATGCAAAGTGATTACCGAACCTAACTTTGACAATCTTTATTTAAATTGTAAAACCAATATTTTACCGCAGTTCTTACTTTTATGCAAAGCTACCGAGACTTAAAACCAACCCCCCTTTTGTTACTATAAAGTTACGAATTTATCAACTGTCGAACGACAACAATATCTCATATTCCCTGTGGAGACGATAACAAAAACCCGACACTTTACCACTGTCTTAACAACACTCATCATTGTTTAACCTATATAAACCTTCAAGTTATGAGTATAACTTATCATCACAAATGATGCGTCTAATGGGACAACAAGCAACAAAAAAGAAGGGTAAGGCAAGGTAAAATGCAAATGCATCTAAATCTCTTTCTAATGTTGTGCAAGATACATAGAATAAAAGAGTAGCATCAATGGAGAGACTAGCTCAATGTAAGGAGGGAGAGATGAAACTTAACGCAATGAAATCCATCATGTCGGATACTTCTACGATGAATTATAGTCAATTGAGTGTTCATGAAAAATATTGTAATAAACTAAAACCAAAATATGGACTTTAGTTAGGATGAAAGGTTATAGGACTTGTTATGTATCAATACTTATGTAAAATGGTCATTAGTACCACTTTAATTTGTAATAAATATTAAGTTGTTAGTCAAACTAGTCGTTATTCAAACTAGTCATTATTTAAACTAGCTGTTATTCAAACTAGTTGTTATTCAAACTAGTCATTATTCAAATACCACTATATATACTATCACTCTTCTCGTTATTTTCTCATTCTTCTCTTATTCTTCTCTCATTTTTCTCTCATTCTTCATTCACTTTAATGGATTCAAACAATTCAAACATCTCAACAAACTCTTTTCGGACTTGATTGAAGAAGAATTTATGGACAACACTGATGAAGAACTACTAAAGTCAATGCTCGAAAAGGAACGTCAATCTAGAAGTTCCTATAGGTCAAAGAGAAGAACAATGATAGATCGAAGTCGTGAAGAAGGGCACAATCGATTATTCACCGACTACTTCTCAGAAAATCCAATATACACAGATGTTCAATTCCAAAGAAGGTTTAGAATGCATTTACATGCGTTTCTTCAAATTGTAGATGCCCTAGGAACTCATGATAAATATTTCTAAATAAGGATAAATACAATTAGTAAAATGGGTCATTCACCATTGCAGAAATACACATCTGCGATTTGTATGTTGGCATATGGGTCTCCCGCTGACATTGTAGACACATATCTTCGAATCGATGAAAGCACTTCAATTGAGTGCTTAGAAAGATTTGTTTGGGGGTGTGAATGTTGTATTTGGGGCAAAGTATTTGAGAAAGCCCATCAATACTGATGTTGAACATCTTTTACAAATGGGAGAGTCATGTGGCTTTCCAGATATGTTGGGTTCCATTGATTGTATGCACTATGAATGGAAAATTTGTCCCGTTGCATGAAAATGACAGTTTTGTCGAGGTGATCATGGTAAGCCCACAATCATGCTTGAAGCAATGACATCGCAAGACTTATGGATTTGGCATGCATTTTTTGTCTTGCAGGTTCAAACAATGACATTAATGTGCTAAACCAATCTAACATATTTAACGATATTTTGGAAGAACATATTCCTACTATGCAATATACAATGAATGGGACACCATATAATATGGGGTATTATTTAGCAGATGGTATATATTTTAAGTGGGCTACATTAGTCAAGACCATTTCAACGTTGCGGGGAGAAAAGAGAAAACTATTTGCACAACATCAAGAATCAGCTAGAAAGAATGTGGAGCAGGCATTTGGAGTGCTCTAATCTCGATTTACAATTATACGAGACCAACGCGTGTCTGGCACATGGAAACCCTCAAGCATACCATATATGCTTGCATCATATTGCACAACATGATTGTTGAAGATGAACGACACACATATAGAGATGATTTTAATTACTCTTATAATAATGTAGATAACAACAACTCAACAACTAAAACATTTAAAGGTCCTCATCCGAATCTTACAACAAAGCTACAAAGAAGAGCAAGTCTTCGTGAAAAACAAGTTCATCGCCAACTTCAAAGAAATCTAGTCGAGTATATTTGGAAACGTTTTGGACATGAGAATGATGAAATTTAAATTCGAATAATTATGTGATGTTATTTTTTTTATTGTTTTCAATTGTATGTCATGTATTTGAGATTAATTTAAATTATCATTTTAAATTTTATGTATTTTAAATAACTTAAATTATCATTTCAAATAATATAAATTATTATTTTAAATAAAATAAAATTTAATATAAATAAAATATTACTAAAATTGTGAGATCCAATATGATTCTTTAATCTAGTATAAAAAAAAGCCTTGAAGAATGCAAGAAATTGATCTATCTGAGTAGAAATTTTATGAAATAGTACAAAGTTGGTCGGAAATTATTGAGGTACAAATCTTGATGTGCACACATAAAGAGGGTGTCGGCGGAATGGAATGTTGATTGTTTATTGTACACCAAGCAAGCACTATGTCATGTTTTCTACACAAATTTATACTAATAAATTCAATACTTTCTGATTCTCATAAAATAATTATGACGTGGACGCTACTTAAACAATTACAAGTATTTTATTAATAAAAAATTATACAATAATTTTATTGGTTCATAACTAAGTGATTATACAATAATTTAGTTACTTCAATGCCTAGCAAATATTTGAGCTTGAAAGGACAATCATATATACATCTTCTTGGAAACCACCATGCAAAAACCATTGTTGACATCCAATTGGTGGATGTGCCAGTGATTGATTTAAGTACTAAGTTCTCTTCAACTTGTTACTTAATTACATGAGTTGTGCTACTTCAATTAAAGTTTATATGCTTGGTCTTCTATTTTTATTTTAAAATATATAACTGTATGGTTTTCTTAATCATGGGTTTTAGTTTTAATTTTTAAGGTTATTGAAGATATCATGAGATGCAGATTATTTAAATTGTCATGAAAATTATTTTCAGATTATCGCTATTACTGTTGTAATTATAATATTGCTGTATAATTATGTCTTAATTTTAATAAAAATTGTTGATTAATAAATATCAACAATTTTATATTAAAACATAAATATAAATAAATAATATTGTTAGGAATGAAATCATAGATCAACGGTTTGAACTCATTTAATTTAACTAATACAGGTCAGTTGAGCTACTATAACGATATATTTTTGCTTTAAATAGAGTTTAACTTACACTATATTGTTTTTTAGTGGAGTTATTTGAAGTAAATAACAAAATTATATTTATAGAGAATGACCTTACATGTTTTTTTTTAAATAAGCAATTTTTTCAATTTAAATACCTAAATAATCAGCACTCCACATTATTCACTAAAATATTAATGTTTTAAACAAAAAAAATTCGTATCAAAGAGGATGTAAATGCTTATGGCGTGCACACTCAAATTTGCACATTGGCGCTAAATCCTATAGCGCATGCACTACCATCATGTCAGTGGGAGTCGTTCATGCTTTGGGGTCTGAGAGGAGGCACCAATATCATTGATGCAAGAGTACATTGGGTTTTTTTTTATACATTAAAATTATAAATAATTAAAAATTAAAAAAAATTAGAAAATAAGAAAAAAAATACTAATATTACTAAATTTAAATAGAATTACAAGGCAAAATTTTGTGTTTAACATATTTTAAAGACACGCTTAATCATAAAGACCACTAATTTCATAACCCGACAATGCCCTTTGTCGTTCAGGTTGCACCTGATCCTCTTAAGGTGGTTGTTTCATAGGATTCACCTAAGGTGTTTGGCGACTCCCTGAATTCACCCGAGGTGTTTGGAGCGATGTCACTAGAACATTAATGTCAACAATGAAATCTAACATCTCTTGCTAGTTACATGTATTGTCGTAATCGAGTTCGGTGCCCTTGTTATCGTAGTTGGGCCGTGTTGGTTGGGTTACAAGTGGGTGGGTTGGTTGGTTGAATTAGGACATTGATTCGTTTTGGAAACGAAGTAATGGTTGTTATGGTTAGATATGTAAATGGATATCCATGAGGACAAATACTATGATATTCGTATCCGCCCAGTTGGATAAGTATGATATCCATATCCGCTCCATATCTATGGGGGTATCCGTTAAGCAGGTAATCCACGAGTTTTAAGGCATCTGTGGATATTTATAGATATCCATATATAATATTTTTATTTCTAAAGTTATTTTAAAAAATATATATATTTTTACCTTCTTTTAAAGACACAAAAAGTTATTATCACATAACATCCATACAGTTGGCTCTTAATTTAACAACAAAATTTTATCACATTAATTTTCTTCTTTTAAAAAAAAACACAATAAGATCCAAATATAATATCTATACATTTCATTTTTAACCAAAAAATAAAAGATATTGTGTTTTTGAGTTATGATGGAAGAGCGGGCGACACGATAGAGGAGTCGGAAGGGAGACATTGGTTTGGCAAAGAAAGGAAGACATTGGTTGGTTGGATTGTGGAATTGTTGAAGCGAGGTATGAAGTATTGAAGAACATAAATATGAAATGACTAATAGAATTTGTATGGAATGTGAAAGGTTTTCTTCAAAGAAAATAAAAAAAAAAAGAAATATAAGAAGATTAATTTTTTGTAGAAGATGAAAAGACAAAGTATAATAAACTAATGATATTTAAATAATTTTTATAATTTAATAACAGATATGGATATCCGCGGGCACGAGTATCATTAAACCCTCATCCATATCTATTAACAAATGAATATTTAAATATCCATTTATTTTATCCGTGGATATCCATTAAATTACCTGTCCCATATCCGTGACAGATTTTATCCGCAGATATCCGTGGGTACGAGTTGTTTTTCCATCCCTAGTTATGGTATTTGATAGGCATGTGTTGGTCGGGTGCTTTGACGAAGTGATGCTTGAGTGCTCTGGTGGTGTGATGTTTGGGTGTACATTAATTAGGTCCTATGGTAGGATATTGTGGTATCATATGCCTTATGGTAAGACGTTGTGGCGACATATGTTTATTGGTGGTATGGGAAATTTTCTTGGTTTTGTTTTTGGTTGTGTGGCATGAATTAGTCACGGGTTTGGGTGTATGTGGCTTGGTAATATTGTGGGATTGGTTGTTGGGTGTAGGTGGGTTGACAATTTTGTTGGGTTTGGTAATGTCGTGGGATTGGTTCTTGGGCGTAGGTGGGTTGACATTTTGGTTGGGTTTGGTAATGTTGTGGGGTTGATTGTTGGATGACGAAGCTTTTAGGCATGGGTGAATTAAATACCTTGGGTCAGACACAAACTAAGTTGTTGTAACCGATCTATACCAATTCATATAATTTCGAGGTTGTTTAGATTCATTTGGCATGATAGGTTCGTTTATGTCCTATTGATGATGGTGCTTCCAATAACGAAACACATCCCTAGATAAGTCTCTTCAATCGGTAAAATTCCATTGGGCATCGACTCTAACTTGATGCCATTGTCCCAAACACGTTGGGAGATCTGGGATTTGTTGCTGCATTCCAAACTGCAATTTGACATAGTAACTATTATGCATCTCCAAAGTAGTGAACTTGATGATCAATATTTTTGTAGTCCAAATTGAATCATCTTCAGGGTTGATCTCAGGGTTGACAAGAGCTAGTGACGACATTCTCAATCAACCACATGCTTGGAGCAAAAAAGCACAGGAATAAAATGAACAAGTATCCTTATATGCGTTTTTATACAAAAAACTATATAGACGGGACAAAACGGTTGAACCCTAACTATATGTTCCTATTTTAGTTATGTCTTTTAACAAATGTAAATACATAATATCTACAATGTTCCGGTAGTCTTGAGAAAAAAGAGTTACCAAATAGTATCATAATAGAACATCTAGTTTTAGTTATTCTTTCATTCTCGGTTGAATCTTCGGTTACTATCATATTTGAGAAGATGTGTGGAAAATGGGCGAGAATGAATACCTATTAAAAAAAAACCCAATACACTATAGCACTAGGGGTACTATCGTTCCTCTCAAGCATCCAAAGCATGTGCCACTCCCATTGGCATGATGATAGTGCATGCGCCATAGGGTGTGGCGCAAGTATGAAAGCTCAAACGTATGCACTAGTAGTATTGGCGCATTCTTTTGATATAATTTTTTGTTTGTCTTAAACATGAATATTTTAATGAATAATGCAGAAAATTGGTTATTTTGGTATTTAAGTTGAAAAATTGGTTATTTGAAAAAAAACACTTTATATACTATATTGTTTGACCGAGTATGTAGAGAGTTAGTTTATTGTTGTATATTAAGTGGTAAATATAATTTCACTTTATATGTTGTTTAAAGTGGAATTCTGAAAAGTAAATACTAAAAATGAATATAAAAATGGGAAGAAAATCATGAATGAAACACTAGTTGAACAAGTATTTTGCACAAATGAATTTGAGTCAGTGGAGGTTTGGGATGACCCTGCAAAGACTCCTAGGAAAGATAAATGATTATATCTTGAAATTTAAGGGGCTAAATAAAGTAGAAAAAAGTAGAGAGATTAGCTCTTGTCTCTTCAATTTTTAGTCTGAGATTGCAATTACTACTGAAACTATAGCTAAAAAACATAAAACTGATAAGTGTATGAATAAAATTTTAATAAGATAAAATTTAATTAAATGATTTAAAAAATAAATATATTTTCATTGGAAAAGGTGCAGTAAAGAAAAATATTCTAAATATAGTTTTTTAAATTATAAATAATATAATAAATATATTAATTTCAAATCATATTAATATATACATTAATATTTTTGTATGATGGTCAAACTTTACATTAAAGTAGCCAACATTTTTTTTTCAAATTAAAATAAAAATTAATTTATTATATTTAAATAGTTTGTATAGTTTTATCATCAAATTTTATATGTCCTTATTGTTAAAATTATATAGTTAAACTCTTACCATAAACCGAATATATTTTAGATAAAATTAATACTTAACTTAAGCTTTTGAAGTGATTTTGTTTTCTTTCTTCAAATAAATCTTTGAGATCCAAATCGTAATATTTTTAAGTTTTATTTATTATACATTTGGTTGGTCATGTTAAAAGAAATGTAAATT